GGAAATGCAGAGTGCCAATGCTATGCTCAAGGCTGGGGAAGTTAGTCATAGAAAATGAGAAAAAGTGAATTCTTTCATATCACTATATTTCATGTTTTCAAACTAAAATGTACAAGCACTATTCTCTCCCAGTATCATTGAAGGGTCTTTGTTTAATAGTATAGCTTAAGATGACTTTACTTTATAAAATTAAAGACACCGTGCTTTGGATCAGTGAAACTCCTTCAATTCGGCATGACTTCATGGTTGGCTCAGAGTTCTTTGTGACTGTGGCAGCCAGCCAGCCAGCCAAATACCCATTACAATTTCTGCCTCCATCTCCTCTTTTCAGTGCTGAACTAGTTCATTTGGTTTTCTAAAGTGAAAAGAATGTATGTTTATGAATCAAGAAGTAATGCACTTTTTTTTAAAAAAAAAGCAAATTTATAAATTGTTTCAGATTGCAGATATTAATCCTTAAGGACACCCAATCCAGATGCTTTGACTGAGATAGAACATTGAGGTGCTACTTCAGCTGATTATATAGGAATTAAACACTGCAAAGGGAAAAAATGGAACAGAACAAATCAGAAAATAATGTAGAAAGTATCTCAAAATCTTCCTGCTTTATATATGCTGCAAGACACTGCACCACAATGGTGATTTATAGCTTCATTCCGGGTTTCCAAACCTTGGTCACTTTAAAACAAGTGGACTTCAAATCTCAGAATTCCCCAGTCTACCTGCTGAATTCTGGGAATTGAAGCCCATATATCTTAAAGCAACTAAGGTTGAGAAACCCTGGTATGATTCTTTGGCAAGTGGCAGTAAAATAAAATGGTGTATTTAAGTTTTATGGAAAAAAATTTGAGTACCTGTTTTACAGTTTGTACGTAAGATTCAGAAGCTTAATCTTAAAAAGTAAAGGTTCCCCTCGCACATATGTGCTAGTCATTCCCGACTCTAGGGGGTGGTGCTCATCTCCATTTCAAAGCCGAAGAGTCAGCCTATCTGAAGACATCTCCGTAGTCATGTGACTGGCATGACTAAATGCCGAAGATGCACACAATGCTGTTACCTTCCCAGCAAAGGTGGTTCCTATTTTTCTACTTGCATTTTTACTGCTTTCGAACTGCTAGGTTGGCAGAAGCTGGGACAAGTAACGGGAGTTCACTCTTTTACCCAGTGCTATGGATTCCAACCGCAGAACTGCCAACCTTTCTGATAGACAAGCTCAGAATGTTAGCCACTGAGCCATCGTGTCTTTAATCTTAAAATATATTTTTAATTCAAAATGACATTTCTTTTGTTATATACTTCAGAGTCTTATCACTTTGTGAAAAGCTGTTGAGTTTGGGATAGGGTACAATTCTATGCATGGTTTAAAAGCTATACTATGTCTATCTACACCAGGTACGTGCAGTCAGGGGAGGCAGAGCCTCACCACTGTCATCATGAAAAGAAAAAAAATGCAAAAGGAAAAAGGCTGAGCTAGTTGCTGCCAGAATCACCATGGATGACTCTGTTTAATACTTAACTAAAAAAAGCCTCTAAAAAGTGCCCTCTACAGGGGGAGGCAGGAGAACGAGGTGCCTCATCTAGTCTGACTTTATGATCACTCGAGCAGAGCTAAGCAAGGGTTAAAAGCCAAAAAATTCCTGACGTAGATGAGGCACATCGTTCTCCTGCCTCCTGTAGAGGACATTTTTTAGAGGCTTTTTAGAGACTCTGGGAGCAACTAGCTCAGTCTGACCTCAGAGCTCATGCCTTTTTCCTTTTACATTTTTTTTTCTTTTCATGATGGCAGGCAAGAGCAGAGTTGAAATCCTCTCTGAAAAAGCTGGAAAAGGTATGTGTGGGGGGAGGGGAGAGAAATTCAAAAAGTTTGATTGCATGCAGAGCCACATTGCCTTTTCAAAAACACACACCCACACACACAGCTGGATAAAAGTATATAACCCAGCTTCACTGATTACAAGTTTGAAAAGGCAACGTGTCTCCACCTGTAATCAAAGGCTCGGATCGGAAGGCAGCAGGGGAATGGGGGCGGTATGGCAGAGGAGCTTCTTTCAAGCCATTGGAAAATATATCCAATCCAACATCTGTGTTTGTGTTTGTTTGAGAGTGAGCGAGAGAGGGATCCAACTTCTCTGTGTTCATGTGTCTGTTTGAGAGAGTGGGGAGGGAGGGAGAGAGGGAGGAAGGAGGGGGAGGGAGAAGAAAAAGAATGAAGTAAAACTTATTCGCAAAGGAGAAAAACAAATGCTGTTGCTTTAAATCGGAACTGAGCATGCCTGGCTGTGGAATTCTGGGAGTTGAAGTCCACAAGTCTAAAAAAAATTGAAACCCCTGTGTCAGTGCCTCACCACAAGTCACTGATCTACACTGACCAAGAGTCACAGAATAGAAGCTAATCAGGATCTTCATAAAACTTGAGCAGTTTGGTTAAAGGGAAACACAATAGCTGCTGCTTATCACACAGATCAAAAGAATGCTCCAATGGCATTGTGAGATCTAGAAAAATTACAGGCCAACACCTGCTGCTGAGGCAGATATGTTTTAGTGACAACTTGTGGAAGAAAGGTTATCAGTGGAGGCAAGACAAAGGGGAAAGGTTTTGTTTTCCGAGCTTTCAGACTTGTGCTCTAGCAAAGAGAAGTTCCTTGAAGATCAGCTCCAGCATGATTCCAAAAGCTTGGAAAACAAAACCTCTGGTTCCGGTGACCATCCCAGATTGGTTCATGCAACATTATCCAGGGACACATATATTCGCCTTCATTCGTGAAATCCCAACCAATTTATAGAACAGCTGCTTGTCAAGCAGGTTTGCATGCCATGCATAGAAATTTGAACCACTGTGTTCAAAGAAAGGTCCTAAAAACATCATCTCCAAGCTATCAATCTGAACACCGCCAGCTCCAGGTGAAGAACTGGGTCACTGCCAGCTGAGAGAAAACTTAGCCATTTGGACAAATGGAAAAGAAAAAGTTTCCAAGATAGGTGAAAAGAGTAAACTGCAAAGAGAAAATTTGTTGTACTCAGTGTAAATGAGAAGAAGAAACGAATGGAGTTTTTTCTCAATACAGCATCGCTTAGAATCCATCAAGGTGTTGCAATGCTGAGATGAACCAATACCAGAAAATCATTGCATGACATGCACCAGTCCCATTTGATGATACTAATACTAATAAATTAGACCCATCCTGCTTATTCCAGATTAATACTGGCATGAAATTGCCAGTAAGTTTGTACATCATGGTAGTGGTTATTTTTTTGGGGGGGGGGGGATTTTTAATACTGTAAGCTGCCTGAAGTCACCATGCATGACTTGGGCAACTACATAAATTTATTAAATAAATAAACAAATTATATTTTTTCCCAATCAGAAATGAAAAAATTATAGTGTCTTAAAGGAAGCTATCCAGAGGTGGTATTCAGCAGGTTCTGACTAGTTTTGGAGAACTGGTAGTGGAAATTTTGAGTAGTTCGGAGAACCAGTAAATGCCACCTCTGACTGGCCCAGCCCGCATCTATTCTCTGCTTCCCGAGTGCTGGCTGATCAGGAGAGAATGGGGATTTTACAATATTCTTCCCCTGCCATGCCCACCAAGCCACACCCACCAAGCCATGCCCACAGAACCGGTAGTAAAAAAATTTGAATCCCACCAATGAAACTATCATTTCATTTTAAACACCTTTGTCTCCACCACAGAACAACATCAAAGTATCACAAGTGGGGGAGAGCATAAACTGTGTGTAAATTCTTACCATTGAATCTGACTACTCATTTCCCAGCCGATTAAAAAGATTAATTGGGCAGGGCAGCAGGGGCCACACAGTGATACTGTCCCTGGGAAACAGAGGGAAAGAATGCAGTTGCTTAGCCCTCTCTGCTGTATAATGCAGCCTAAGTCTTCCTCTTTCAAAAATCAGTTTACATAAAAGTTAATTATCTCAGCATCTCCTTTTACAATTCCTGCTTTATTTTACTCCTCCCCTCTCAACACACCTAAAAGTTACATAAACAGTATAAAAATACAGAAGATCGGAAATACGTTCTTTCCCCAAAACTCCTAGGAAGAATCCAGCTAGAGACAGAATAGGATTGAATTACAGAATATAACAATGTCCAGGCCTGGATCTTCCAAGAGGATGAGCAGAAATTCTTCAAAGGGGGAATATTTGAAAATTGGATTGCATGCAATGCCTTGCTTGTTTTAGTCCTGGAAAAGTGGTCTTATGAGAGTTGTGAAACTCAAACTTATGGCTACTATTAAATCTAATTAAAGAATTTTCAATATCTGATGCTCAGGTTAGCCTTTAAGATTACATTCCTAATTTATTGATACTAGATTTATGACATGATTTTAATAAAAGCTGGCAATATTAATGCTCAGGTTTACAATGACTGCCTATCATAGCCACAGCAAATTTACTGAAGTTACTTCATTCCAGATTATGTTTCTCTTATTTCCGTAATATAAAAGATACAGAGCAAAATATCAACTTTTACAATTTAATATATGTACATATATCTTAAACTATAAATGCTGGAATCTTGCTCTTAAAAATGCATGTGTTTTATTTCAAGAATTACGAGCTTGTAAACTCTCAAAAGAAAAGAAAAACATTCATTTGTCTTTCTCAAACCCTTGGCTGTTTTCCCTCTAGTTCCAACAGGGGGTGTAAAATCTGGATTTCTTTTTACTTAAATTGGAAAGAGATGTTTTATCCCCTGTGAAATATAATGACCTAGCTGTTGTCTCCAAGAAACTGGTACTGAATTGGTCAAATTCCAGATATGTGAATGTGGAATTAGGGAACCAATAGTAACAACAATTAATTAAGAACTGAAAATGCTCACAGGAACTATTTTGTTCAGGAAGCAAGATAGATTCAAGATCTAATTTAAATTGTATGCAGGTGTATATACACTGCATACAGTCAAAATAAATAAAAGAAAAAGTTGGCTCAAGAAAAGAGATGAGAAAAAACAAAACATGCCATAATATTTTGCATACCTTGCTGTGGCACCTGTTGCTTTCCATGATAAGAAATCCGGAAGATCAAAGAAGTGCCCTGCTTTTTCCCAGCAAGACTCTCGCAAATTCTGATAATTTTTTGTTGGAGATAAAAAGGATAGTTTTAGCTCATATAATTTAAAAACAAATTTAAATCATATGCAGTAGCTAAGACAACACCGGTGTCCCCTCCATCCAAATTTAAGTTTCAGCATTCTGTATAGAATGATAAACTTCTATATATAGAATTTTTTGAGTTTTATTCATGTTTTGTCCTCCAACAAAAGGTATTAACAAGCAAAGCTACAGTCTACTCAAGGATATTTTATATACTACATTTGCAACCTCCGTATATTTATTACTAAACCTCTGCAGCATGTATTACCATTATCTCTATGTTTATATCCATGGATATATTTGTGTGCCCTTTCTATGTACTCTGAGAACCCTGCATCCTGTTCCCAATGGAACTGGATGTCAAACTATATTTCAAGTCATAATTCTATGAATAATAAGCAGGAAAAGAATACCAACTTAATAATGAGTGCAGCTGTTTCTGGCATCTCCCAGTGGTGTCTCTAAAGCAGGGGTCTCCAACCTTGGCAACTTTACAATTTGTGGACTTCAAGTCCCAGAATTCCTCAGCCAGTGCATGCAGTCCACAAGTTATAAAGTTGTCAAGGTTGGAGACCTCTGCTTTAAAGGGCATTTAAGTAGCAAGGCTGCTATATGCACATATAAGCCCCCTGGACAACCTCCCACCTCCAGCCAGGCAGAGCATCACTCACCAAACTAGCAGTATCCCAAGGTGCCAAGCCACGGAAACCTGGGGGAAGGCAAAGGTGATTGCGTTGCTTGGCGCCTTCGGGATACTGCTAGGTTGGTGAGCAGTGCTGTGCCCAGCTGAAGAGGGGAGTTGCCGGGCGGCTGCTCTCTTGCAAGCAGGCTCCCAAAGAGCCGGGCACAGCCTCATGGGCAAATGGCTGTGTTGCGCTGTCACAGCACTGTAACACAACAGCCATGAAGCGACCACGCTCACAAGCAGCCACCCAGCAAACCCTCTTTGCAGCCGGGCACAGCACCATTCACTGACCTAGGGGTATCGCCAAGCCGCGTGAGTTCCTGTTCGCCGCCAGCCACCTCCCGCGGCTTGGTGCCTTCAAAATGCCACTGAATGGCACTCTACAGGGCTGGAGATGGGGGTTGCACGAGTGGCTGTTCTGCTCTCACTCACCCACCTCCCAGCCTCGTGATGCATGGCCCAGCTCTCACTACGGAGCCAGGGGACATCCGCTACCGCCGCCATCCCAGCCTGGCTTTTTCCGTGGCTTCCAATCCGAGTCTTTCGGCAGTGGCCACTCTGGGCACACCCTCTATGGTTGTACGCTCTGCAGGCAGCTGGCCCACAATCATAGAGTATGCGCCCAGAGTGGCCACTGCCGAAAGACTCAGGTTGGAAGCCGCAGAAAAAGCCAGGCTGGGATGGCAGCAATAGCAGAGGTGCCCTGGCTCCGTAATGAGAGCGCCATTCAGTGGCATTTTGAAGGCACCAAGCCGCAGGAGGTGGGCGGCGGCGAGCAGGAACTCACGCGGCTTGGCGATACCCCTAGGTCACTGAATGGTGCAGTGCCCGGCTGCAAAGAGGGTTTGCTGGGTGGCTGCTCGTGAGCGTGGTCGCTTCATGGCTGTTGTGTTGCGCTGCTGTGACAGCGCAATACAGCCATTCACCCATGAGGCTGTGCCCGGCTCTCTGGGAGCCCGCTCGCAAGTGAGCAGACACCTGGCAACCCCAAAACAATAAACCCTCCCCCCATAATAAAGCCCCAGCCATATTTTGTAGGTAAAAAGAAAATAAGACCCTGTCGTATTTTCGGGAAAACACGGTAACAGTTAGTTGAGCAGATTCTTATGCATAGGCATGATTAGTAATAAGCTAGTTTAATTAGAAAGTCACAATTACTCTATTATTCTGTTGCTCCTGTCACTACTCAACTCACAGAAAACTTCAACAGAATTCAAGAGGGATTGGATTTGGTTCATTTGTGGCTACGAGACTCTAGGCTGATTCCTCTTTTGACTCCGCCCCCAGGTTCTGCCACTCCTTCTATAATTTGTTTCAGAAAGAGAGAACTCAATGGTTCAGTTCTCTATATTTAGCCCCACACATAATAATATTTTCCCTATGATATTTTCCATATCTTGTGCTTTGAATAAAAGTTTGATGTTGCTGAATTTAATAATTTATTTCATGTAGCATCATGGCACTACCACTGTAATTACATGGATATTTAGAGCCAGTTTAGTTTAGTAGTTAAGGCGCCAACCACAAGACCATGAATTTTAATCCCACTTTAGCCATGAAAGCCAGTTGTCTTGGGACCATGCATTTTCTCTCAGCTCAACCCACCTCACAGGCTGTTGTTGTTATGGGGAAAACAGGAGGATGAAGTAGTATTTGATATGCTCAGTACTTTGAATTTTTTATAAAAATAATAAAAGTGGGATAAAAATAAATAAATAAATGTAGATATAATTATCTATCTAGAATTCTTCAGATCCAATAATTAAACAAATCAATAAGAAAAGGAACAATTTTGTTGCATTTATTTTGTACAATGACAATAAAGGCTAGACAGATAAATTGATATTGATATTACACATACATATACATATACATATACATAAACACACACACACACAGCCATATTCTGGATAGAAATGAAGTAAGAATTTCCAAGCAAGTGTACTGAAAATCCTGTAAAGAGTTTATTCTTGTTCACTTTTATGGAAGCCAGGACTAAGATGACCAGAGAGTGGTTTCGTGTCAATAGGGTCAAACGTCTAATGTAAAAGGAAAAATAAGTGGACACTATTGCATCTTTCCAAAAGCCACAATAAAAAGATTTGAAAATGAGCCCCTTGAAACACATCCAAATGATTCATTTTACACACCAAAATGATTTGTCATCACTGTTTAGATCAGAAAAACACACCAGTTTTTGCTATATCTTTCCACACTAAGTTTTACAAAAACCAACCTGATCACACAAGTTATTCTATTACTTGCAATACTCCACACAATTAACAAGTATATTGAAACTACCCGAATGCAGTTTTCAATAGAGCAAGTCTTTTTCGGTAGCTCCAGATTTATTTGTTATTCACTGGAACCTAAGTATAGTTGGCCTCCTTTTCCCAAATATCTCTTTCTTCATAGAAATCACCATTTATATTTTTTTAAAAAAAAAAAAGAAGAAGAAGAAGAAATGGCTTTTTTGAAAGCACTGGTCAATTCCAAGTAGTTAATCAGCTGCAAATGTAATCATAATAACTTACTCTCCTGTTCTATTTACTCAGCAGATGACAATACTTTGACCAACTTCTTACTACAAAATGACAAGCCAAATCACTTACGTATTTCCCAAGAAATACAACTGAGACCAGACCACAGAATACAAGGACCCACAACTTTAACGGCAGGCACTGACTTAATGTTCAGCAGCTACAGAGCATTTCATCATCTATGTTAAAAATATCACTTTTGCTGATGTAGCTTTTTTTTAATAATTTTGACTTTAGCATCCTAATGCTAATCCCTTTTTTAAATTAAGAAATAAACCTTTTTTTAAAATGAAATGAATCGTTCTTCTGTTTTTTTGAATATTAAAGAAGCATAATAGGTTTTAGACAATTGAAAATTTAAATCTGTTCTTTCCATTCCCAGAAACTTCATATTTATTTCTGTATAATTATTCATATTCTGCCTCCACTACTGATTTGAGGGGGCTCACAACTTCATAAAATCAATTATTTCAATGGAAAGATACATTCCAAATTACTTAATACTTTATGCCTTATGATAAAGAATTGTTTTAGCTGCCTTTCTGACTCTCCAAGGGAAGCAAGCTATCGCAAAATGAGAGGACTGCGATTGAAAATTCTTAAGAACTACGAGTCTATTATATACATAAAGATGGAAGATACACCAATGGAGAAAGATGGTATAGCTTGCAGAAATGACTAAATTGACTTGTTTGACCAAGGACGGAACAAAGAAAGGAAATTTATGGACTTTGTGCTGAAAATGGACAAAAATGAATTGATGATGTTAGAATTTACTAATTAAAAAGGATTGCTTTTGGGAAGAAGCATGCTATGTAATTTGGGAGGGAGGAGATGGTAATTATCATGTTTATATAAGTACTGCAAAGATGGGTAGTCGCTTCTTTAGATATCTTTCTTTTCCTTCTGTTATCTTTTCCTTTTATTTTCCATATCTCTTTTTTCTACTTTTTATTTATGTAGTTTTTTAATCTTACGTAAAACCTGCTTCTAACAATATATATAAAGGGAAACCTATTTTGAGATCCCTGTTCTACTAAGATCCCAGGCTGGAGACTACTGGAAGCTTGTCCTCTTGGCCAGCCCATCCTGGATGAGCAGATTCTATACAAAGCAGGAAGCATACATAAGTGTGCATCAGTGGTGGGTTTCAAATTTTTTTAGAACCTATTCTGTGGGCGTGGCTTGGCAGTCATGTGACCGGGGCAGTATGGCCAACTTGACATCACTCATGCACACTCAGTCACATGACCACTACCCCCAAGCCATGTGGCAAAAAAAATTTGAACTCCTATGAAGGGGGGGAGGGGAAAACCTCCCAAAAATAGACAACTGGAGGATTAAGGGCCAAAATTAGGGAGATCGGAGAAGGCAAGACAGAGGGGAATCCAGTAGAAATCTACCACATGCTGGGGAAAGAACTTTGGGAGATTGGAGGAGGCAAGACAGAGGGGAATCCAGTAGAAAGCTATCACAAGCTGGGGAAAGAACTTTGGGAGATTGGAGGAGGCAAGACAGAGGGGAATCCAGTAGAAAGCTATCACAAGCTGGGGAAAGAACTTTGGGCGATTGGAGGAGGCAAGTCAGAGGGGAATTTAGGAGAAAACTCCTGAGCTTGCCTCTGCTGTCTGGTGGATTGTGCCGCTGGACCTCTCCATGCTTCTCCGTTCACCACCTCCACTCCCAGGTATGGAACTTGACACCGAATTGTGCTAGGATAGTGCAGACTGGCGGGGGAGAGTGAGTG